CCGTGAGACATCAATGGAGGCTGACCGGTGAGGCAGCCTTGGCCAGCCTTGGCATTTATTCCCGCAGGAACCGAGGTGATGAGGGCGACGAAGCGGTGTCTCGCTGACTAGACGGGACCGCCCCACGTTCGCGCCAAAACCTCTTGCCCCGGCGCCCTCGGGCGCCCCCAGCGCGCCGGGTTCGTCCTGGGTCCGCCGGCACTAAGTTTGGCCCAAACCTGCGAAAAACGGGCTCTTGCGGGCGCGACTGCGTAGTTTTTTCGACATCGACGTAAAAAATCGCCTTGGGCGCCATGTTGGGGGCGCGGCTGGAGATGCTCTTAGTTTATGAAACTTAGTGATTTTGTCGGTCATTCTTAGTCTCTACTCCTAATGGAGCAGTTGGTAGGATTGCGTCCACGGTTTATTTTCGTCTGGTTATATTTCGTCTGGTTTATTTTCGTCCGGTTTATTTTCGTCTCATATCCCACCACCATATCTCCTCACATTGATTTTTTTACCCTCACAATAAAAACTTTCCTAACTTTTCCAAAGTTTCCTAACTAGACACGTTATAAACGGGCATGTACCGATAGCACGTTATCAATTAATAAAATTTTGTTTTATGACAATCAATTCCAAATCCTAATTTTCCTAATGCATCGATCTTTGCCTTTTTTAAGTAGTTATTTTGATAGGGAGGGTTTAGCCACGAAAATCATCCCTCCATCGTCGGCTGCATCCCTCACCCACGTCGCTGTTGCAGGATTTTCATCCGTCATCCTGAGCAATTGGGGCGGCGATGCGGGCGAGCTTCACGATAGTGGGGAGGACCAGTCCGCGGTGAAGGCAGGTCATGCGCTCCTCACGCTCCACGAACGGAACCTGCGCACGGAGGCGGTAGCGCGGGGTGGCAGCCGGCAATGAGGCGGCCGCGCTACGTGACGAGCTGGTTATATTTCGTCTGGTTTATTTTTGTCCGGTTTATTTTCGTCTCATATCCCACCACCATATCTCCTCACATTGATTTTTTTACCCTCACAATAAAAACTTTCCTAACTTTTCCAAAGTTTCCTAACTAGACACGTTATAAACGGGCATGTACCGATAGCACGTTATCAATTAATAAAATTTTGTTTTATGACAATCAATTCCAAATCCTAATTTTCCTAATGCATCGATCTTTGCCTTTTTTTAAGTAGTTATTTTGATAGGGAGGGTTTAGCCACGAAAATCATCCCTCCATCGTCGGCTGCATCCCTCACCCACGTCGCTGTTGCAGGATCTTCATCCGTCATCCTGAGCAATTGGGGCGGCGATGCAGGCGAGCTTCACGATAGTGGGAAGGACCAGGCCGCGGTGAAGGCAGGTCATGCGCTCCTCACGCTCCACGAACGGAACCTGCGCACAGAGGCGGTAGCGCGGGGTGGCAGCCGGCAATGAGGCGGCCGCGCTACGTGACGAGCTACGGGTCCCCCTTTGTGATGTTTTGGCATCGCTCCTTCATCGCACATCCTCAGGTTCCTCTTGCCCTTCCCTTCCTCTGTCCTCCTCTCCCATCTCTATGCTTTCACGTGCATCCAGTTTTGATTCCTCGTGTGATATATACCAAACATAGGTACGTCAATTCACTTCCTTCCCTTCCCTTCGTCCCTCGGTCCCCCGCTCGTGGCGCTGAAGTGGTGGCAACAGGCGATGGCGGTGGTGTCGCTGATGGCGGCGAGGACAGCATGTGGCAGCTCCCGAAGCATGAACACGACCGCACCTCGGGCCTGCCGTCTGCCAAGATATGGGTGAGTTCTCGTGCTGCCAACCATAAACCCTCATGTCTTACAAATTCCTCAAACCCTACCGTCTTGATCCCGTCCACGCTCTGATCCAAAGGACGATGCAGCTCTGGCCGATTGACAATGGAGGTTTGGGATCCTTCCTCTCAGCACCCACTCCTGGAAGAATCAGCGGTGCGCCACGCCGATTGAACCCCGTCGAGATCACTCGCCAAGATTGCTATTCTGAAGTTTATTGTAAAGAAAGTGAAGAGTGAGACAGGATCCGTTTATTTTCAACCGGTTTATTTTCAACCGGTTTATTTCCATCAAATTACCCCCACCCCCACGCCCACCCACCGAAACGCGCCCAGCGAACCGGGGAGAGATCCATTGATTTGGCTAAGGTAGGAAAGAATCTATTATTTGTTTGCTAAAGCAAATTGCATTAATGGGAGAGATCCGTTGATTTGGCTAAGGTAGGAAAGAATCTATTATTTGTTTGCTAAAGCAAATTGCATTAATGAAAGAGATCCGTTGATTTGGCTAAGATAGGCAAGAATCTATTATTTGTTTTCTAAAGAAAATTGCATTAATGAGAGAGATTTGTTGATTTGGCTAAGATAGGCGGTTTTGAGTAAAGTTATCTTTACTGTAGACATATAATGACAATTAATCAAGTATCAACATCATTGCATGCTTATTGTGTGGAATGTGTGTCCCAATGTTGACAGAAGGTATAAAAAGATTGTCTTGGAATTATTATTGTCTTGGGAAGATATTGCCCTGAATTCTCATTTCTCATCAGAAATTTAGTATCCATTTTCGTTGATCTTATTTGCAACATGTACAAGTCAGTAATAATCTAAGGGGGTGCCCTACCGGAGAAGATTATGATAGTTGGACAAGAAACTTGGTACTGTCGTGTAAGGTAAAGGTAGGAGAAATAGGAGATAAAAGCATGCATGGTGGGAGAAGGAAGTCGAATGTCGCGTGGTAGCTCAGACATGGAGTGTGGAAGAAAGACAATGACGAGATGTATGTATCTACTAGATCATGACCATGAGATATCATCCCATAGAAATGACCTTTGACTCTCATGTCACATGAATTTTCTCTTTGTATATATATATTTGTTAATCCGTGGCAACGCACAGACACTTAGCTAGTAAATTTTAGTAGTCGAGATTCGGTGAACTTATCAAAACTTCTCAAAACATATTTAAAAATGGTCTCGTTTCAAAGCCCTCGTCACAAAAAACATGAATATGCAAACGAGGCGTCGATGAAGCCGGCTTAACCTTGTCAAGATTGTCAATATTCTTCGTGCATGTGCCCTTAGGACCAGCACGATGGCCACAATCACCATCATTGAACCCTTGAATAGATATGAAGCAACAGATATGAAATCTTGTCATCATGCATGCATAACGAGAAACTCTAACCTCACCCCCCCCCCAAGAAGATGGAAGGAGTCTACACTGGGGTTCCGCCGGGTATGTTTAGATGAACTAACTGAGAAGAATTAGAACCGGGAATATAAACTCGAAGAAAAAGCGTTGTCATCCGTTCGAGCGCCGCACCGAGGGATTAGAAAACCCTAACGTAAACTACTAGCTAGAGCGAAGGCATCAGTATTCTCCCCCCGGCACCGGCCACCGGAGAAAGGTAGAGGGGAGGCGAGTCCGTGCGCTCGCCGATGAAACCTAGAGGGGAGAGCTTGCCCTAGCCACCGAGGGGAAGGGAAGAAGGGACTTGACAAAGGGTGTGATATGTTCTTATTTGGAGTATAATATTGTACTAAATCAGTGATCTATACCACTTTTCATCTGCGACGGTTGATGTTCTGATGCGTTGGTCCTATGTGGTCTTAACACGACGATTTCTCGACTGTCGACTACAATAAATTTTGCTCGGCGCCGGCAAAGAAGGGGCAATGACGGCATTGCCTTCAGCTCGCTTCAGGCCTGTAGTCATGGCTAGGTGATCTACGGATATGGATGTAATTTTTATTATTTCTGTTATTCGTTATACTATTATGATTGAAGATGAATAGACCGAAATTTTTCCGTAAAAAAAATTAGCGACAATTAATATGAACACGAGGGATTATTGTTTTTCCGAAGTGGAACCTATGATCTGCGGTTGTCCCATTTCGAAAAGAAAAAACTTAACATCAGAAAACGTAATCGAACCCCCCAAAAGGGCAAAAGAGATGCTAAATCTTGCACATGCAGCTACATTCGGCAATGCTACACGTACAAACAATTTACAGGCTTTTACAGGATGGTTAACCTTGATTGGTCAATAGGTGAGCGGGGCGGCCACCCCCTGAAAATCAGGGGGGGAGAGGTTTGTGATTGGTTGTTAGCTGAAAGGAGCGTGTAAAAGCGTGTAAGTCTTTATATGTCTAGCATTTTTGAGCTACATTACTTCTCCCCGTGGTGCATGATCTGAATCGTCTCCGCCGTGCTGCCGCGGCAGCGCTAGTACTACTGGCAGTGGCGGCACCGCCCACTGGTCGCCGTCGATGTAGGAGACGTCCATGAAGGGCGCGGCCTGCCGGCGATCTAGCTGCCGCGCGTACGGCACCCTCCCATCCCTGCACGCCCCGGGCCCCGTGCTCTCGTACTCCCCGAAGAACACCGTCTGGCGCCTGGCCGGATCGTTCCAGTCGTTCCACCCCTCCGGCGCCACGACGCCGGCGGCGAGGTACGTCCTCGCGAACACCACCGTGGCGTAGGGGCCCCACGCCCGCCCCAGCCACACCTTCCCCGTCCCCACCACGCTGCACCCCACGAACGCGAACCCCGTTTTCTCCGACGCCGACCCTTGACCCTGCGCCGTGATGCTCCCCGTCACGCCGCCGCCATTGCCGGTGGACGCCGCGACGGAGCTGATTGTGCAGTTGAGGTAGAGCGACCGGGCGTTGCCGAAGATGAAGTCGATGGAGCCCTCGACGTAGCAGCCGCGGAAGAGGTGCCGCCCCTGCTCGTCCAGCAGCGTGTCCTGCGCGCCGTAGACGCCGCACCAGTGGAACGCCGCCTGGTCGCCAGCCACGCGCAGCGCCACCGCCTGCCCTCCGCTGGCGCCAGGGTCCGCCGGAGGCGCCGTGTTCTGAAAGCTGATGTTGTAGGCGACGAAGCCGGCAGCGAGGACGGTGAAGGTGGCGCTGGACGGGGTGCTGCCGCCGCTGGAACCGGCGGTGTCGTTCCACGCCACGGTGCTGTTGAGGTTGCCGCGGCCGTGCAGCGTCACGCCCGTCTTGTTGCCCCACACCACCACCTTCTCCCGGAAGATGCCGGCGCCCACGGCCAGCAGCGTACGCCCGCCGGCCGCGCCGTGGTCAGGCACCGCGTCCACCGCCTTCTGCACGCTGCTGAAGTTGCCGCAGCCGAGGTGGTCGACGGTCAGGACGAGGGCGGCGTTGAGCTGGGACGCGATGCCGGCCACCCATCTGGCCTCCTCGTCGCACTGCCTCCGCCGGCGGCGGCCGTGTACCAGAGGATCGGAGGGCGAAGCAGGGAGGTGTGTGGTGGAGGCAAGCAAGATGGCGAGAAGAACAGAGGCGATGGCCGCTGGGCATAGGCCACAGTACTTCACTCCTCCTCCACCCCTGCTTCTGCTTGTGCTTGCACGGCTCCTCATTATCATGGGCACCAGGGCATGGCTTGCATGATCTCGATCTGGCTTTGCTTCTTTCTTATGACTACTACGCTACGTACGCACTTGCTATCCTAGTAGTAGTAATTCACAAGGAAAAATGGGTAGATTAATCAATTCAGAAGGAGCTTATCTAATCTATTCAAGCAGTCAGCATTGTTGTTAGCTATGGTTGCTTAATTTGCTTCGTTGAAGCTAGTAGTCATGATGAGATGAGCCGTAATGTGGCGACCAAGGGAAGGGATCCCATCCCATCCCATCCAGTTTTGAGTGAGTGCTACATTGCCGCCGTAATGATTACAACTACCTTCTAGCTAGCTGCATGCTCAACCTGGCCGGAACATACTACAAAAGGTTACTCCATTGCTTTTATTTCCATTCTTGGTGCCTATACCATGATGAATCAATGCTACAAGGGTTGAACGCTATTCGCTACACCGTTGATGTTGTTGAGATTTTTTTTTTGTATATTTGGTTTGGCGCCCGCGAAAGATGGTGGGTGTTTTTTATAATGCGGTGTTTTGGTGGGCTCTTTGCAGTGTGATTCTATGTTATCTGCTAATTAATTCATATTTATGTGGAAAAGTTTCATGCATTGGTGGCCGCATATATTATATTGGTGCTACAGTGTTATGTGTTGGCACTTTTTGTTTGCTAGCTGGCAAGGGGATGTACAATCTGATTGCTGCCATTTGAGAAATAGTTGACCCAGTTAAAATCATGAATCAAATTCAATATTAAATACCTTGACTGAATGAAGAGCTCCTTGAGAAATAGTTGACCTGGTCAAAATCATCAACCAAATCCAAAACTAAACATCTCAATTGAATGGAAGGGCTCCAAAATCAAGGAGCACAGTGTAGCAGGCTTTTTCTTTATTTAATAGGAGTTTTACTCATAATGATAGGGTTACAATTTAGAGGCAAAAATCCTCAATGCATAGGGTTCTCTATGTAGCCACACAACAATACTCTGTTTAGTACAACTGTCAATTTGCTATTCTATTTTATTCCCGTCTAAGCTTTTGCGGAATAAACTCTCGGTCTACCATCAAACATTTGATCTCATCGACAATGTGCCCATTCGTTGATCGGGCCAAACTGTTGCTAGGTAAGCTCATCAGTGCCTTAGCCGGAAAAGGCTTCGCCTCGCTTTATAACTAGATGATATCCCGTGCTTTGCGGCGGGAATAAGTTGCAATATATTTCAATAAGATTTGATTGAATGAAACATTTGGATTAATAATATGCAAACAAAAACTAAAAATGCATACTATATATTGTATCAGATTATTGTATAGTTAAAAAATATTTATTGAATATAGGTAATATAATATAATGAAATGTTTTCGCATGCATGTTGGGTGTGCCTTTGATGACGTGACATGTATGTAAAGCGTATGTGTGCATGTTAAAATAAATATAAATAGTGGGGATCAACTAATAATGAAAAGAAATTCCCATGCATGTTGTGGTGGGCCTTCGATGATGTTGTATGTGTGCATGTTATGATAATAGAAGTAGTGGAGATGAACTATTTAGGTATATATAGAATAAGACCAAAGAAATATACAAGCAACAGCAAAACGAAGGTCCACAAAAGAGAGAGGCGAGTGAGTGAGGGGGGAGGGGGAGTGAATAACATAAGGTCTACTAGGGCAACTGAAAGCACAAGTGCTCCCTGGGTGATTTTGGTAATTAATGTCAACATATCTCTTGTTGGACTAATACTTTTATCTAGTATATTTCAGATAAGTCCAGCAGTGGAGTGGCATGGACAAGAGGATGTGGAACCCCTTCAAGATGCTAAGGACAAATGATTGGCTCAAGCTCAAAGCTCAGGACTCTACATTTTCTATTTCAGTGATCCAAGATCACATTGAGTCCATAGGAAAGCCAATACTATTAAAAGGGGATGAGGTGTTGCTTAATGGCTTGCTTGCTCAAAGTGCTTAGTGATATGCTCCGAAAACCCTCAACCACATTCTCATATCCACATATGTCCCAAACAAAGGTCAAACTCGGCCCCACCGATTTGATCTATCCGCCGCCATCGAGTTAATTTGACATAGCCACTGCTAGAAACCCTAATTAGTTCGGTCTCACCGATGGGATCTCGGTCTCACGGAGATGGGCTTGCAAACTCTCTGTTACCTATTGCAATAATTTCGGTCTCACTGAGATATGCAATCGGTCCCACCGAGTTTGCTTGACCAACTCTTTGTTTCTCTTATTACCAAAATTGGTTCCACCGAGTTTGTGTAATCGATCAAACCAAGATGAGGTTTTACCCTAACCCTAGCACATCGGTCCTACCGAGTTAATCATATCGGTCCCACCGAAATGCCTACGGTCACATTATGAACTAAATCGGTCTAACCGAGTTTTCTGATTCGGTCTCACCGAGTTTGGTAAATTGTGTGTAACAGTTATATTTTGTGTGGAGGCTATATATACCCCTCCACCCTCTCTTCATTCGTGGAGAAAGCCATCAGAACGTGCCTACACTTCCAGCATTCATTTTCTGAGAGAACCACCTACTCATGTGTTGAGGTCAAGATATTCCATTCCAACTACATAAATCTTGATCTCTGGCCTTCCCCAAGTTGCTTTTCACTCAAATCATCTTTCCACCAAATCCAATCCTATGAGAGAGAGTTCAGTGTTGGGGAGACTATCATTTGAAGCACAAGAGCAATGAGTTCATCATCAACACACCATCTATTACCTTTTGGAGAGTGGTGTCTCCTAGATTGGTTAGGTGTCACTTGGGAGCCTCCGTCAAGATTGTGAAGTTGAACCAAGGAGTTTGTACGGGCAAGGAGATCGTCTACTTTGTGAAGATCTACCCTAGTGAGGCAAGTCCTTCGTGGGCGATGGCCATGGTGGGATAGACAAGGTTGCTTCTTCGTGTACCCTTCGTGGGTGGAGCCCTCTGTGGACTCGCGCAGCCGTTACCCTTCGTGAGTTGAAGTCTTCATCAACGTGGATGTACGATAGCACCACCTATCGGAACCACACCAAAAATCTTCGTGTCTCCAATTGTGTTTGCACTCTCCAATCCCATCCCTTTACATTATTGCAATTTGCATGCTTTAGTTTCCGCTGCTCATATACTCTTATCATGCTTGCTTGATATGTATTGTGAATGTTTAAACTTGTGCTTAAACTCCACCTCAACTTGAAGAACTTAAAAATTGCTACTTTTCTTGGTTGAGAGCCTATTCACCCCCCTCTAGACACCTCTTCTTGATCCTTTCAACTGGTATCAGAGCCTCGGTCTCCATTGCTTTGGTTTAATCATCATTGGAGGAAGATGGATGAGTCTACGTTGGGGAGTCTTATACATAGAGTGCATATACTTGATGGAGAGTACTTTCATGAGTGGAAAAATGAGATGCTTGAGATTTTCAATGAATATCATTTGAGCAAGTACATTACCAACCCTTGTGCGCGCCCTGTTGATCCTTTGCATCCCACTCCCAATTAGGATCTTGACATGATTCGTAATCTTAGAACTATCAATCTTATCACTAGAGGAATGCCTAGAAACTTGATTGCTAGCTTGCCTGCTCTTGATTGTGCCTACACCATTTGGGGATTTCTTGAGGAAAGATTTCCAAACTATTCCTTGCAAAATCTAGATGAGATTCTTCATAAGTCAATTGCCTTGAATAAAATGAGTACTAGTGATCCTAAGTTTGATGATTGTCTATTTGAGCTTCGTGACCTTATGCGTGCCAAAGGAGATGTTGGAATCATTAGCAATATCATCTCCGAATCCATTAGATTTCATAAAGATGATTATTATCATGATCATTTATCTAATGAATCACTCTCTCTAGGAATTGATCCATCACATGACGATGTTGAACATGGATACTATGATGAGGATGATGATAGTGACTATGATCTTGACGATGCAATGAGACACTTTGGTCTTATGGCTAATCTTCGTGGCTACATGGCAGGAAGAAAGGAATGGGTCCTTGATAGTGGATGTACCGATCATATGACCGGAGACAAGGATATGTTTCGTGAGCTTGCTGAAAATGACGGCCCTCGAAAGTATGTCACTTTTGGTGATAACTCAAAGGGTAAGGTGGTTGGCCTCGGTAAGGTGGCCATCTCACATGATAGCTCCATACAAAATGTCATGCTCATTGAATCTCTTGGCTATAATTTACTTTCTGTATCTAGACTTGCTGATTTCGGTTTCAATGTCCTATTTACTGAAATAGATTGTCAAGTGTTTCGAAGAGATAATCATAAAATGGTCTTTACCGGCATACGTAGAGGTGATCTATACATTGTTGATTTCACTAAAAAGGCTCAACCTAGAACTTTCTTAATTGCTAAATCCTCTAAAGGCTGGTTGTGGCATAGAAGGTTAGGTCATGTGGGCATGCGAAATCTTGATAAGCTTATTAAAGGTGATCATATCCTTGGAATAAAAGATGTTATATTTGACAAGGATAGACTTTGTAGTGCTTGTCAAGCAGGAAAACAGGTTGGAGGAAGCCACCCCGTGAAGAATATCATGACCACGAGAAGACCGCTCGAGCTACTTCATATGGATCTCTTTGGTACCAATGCCTACAAAAGTCTCGGTGGAAACTCATTTGGTCTAGTTATAGTCGATGATTTTTCAAGATTTACGTGGGTGTTCTTTCTTGATGATAAATCGCAGGTCCAAAAGAACTTCAAGAACTTCGCTAGGAAGGCCCAAAATCAATTTGAAGTGAAGATCAAGAAGGTTCACAGCGACAACGGAATGGAGTTCAAGAACGCAAATGTGGATTCCTTCCTTGACGAAGAAGGGATTTCACACGAGTTCTCGGCTATGTACACACCTCAACAAAATGGAGTTCTTGAGAGGAAGACCCGGACTCTTATTGAGATGGCAAGAATGATGCTTAATGAGTATAAGACACCAAAACACTTTTGGGCAGAAGCGGTTGAGATAGCTTGTCATGCAACAAATCGCGTGTA